TTGTAGTCCGAAATTATACTTTACTTAAATCTGTTTGAATCTACTTAAATCTGTGTGGCCTTATTACAAGGTATTCGTAGCTTGCAAAGACCTTCCTTCAGGGAACAGTACCACAAAATAAAAAGAAGAGGCATACAGAGAAAGCGATGGGAAGACAACATTAAAGAGTGTACGGGCCTGTCATTGAAATAGGTTTTATCCTAGGCAAAAGACATAGAGGAATGGAGAATGACGGTTGTCAAATCTTGTGTGGTGCCCCAACGGTCCAACATACTAAGGGATAGATGAAAGTGAAATGATGGGGATGTCTGGGCCCTTTTTTATTGTATGTAAATTATTAAAATATCATTATGTTTTCGCAATCTTGATCAAACATTGTACATATCAAATTAAATTCATATGCAATTTATTACGAAGATATTTGTGGGCGGTGATATTGTACATACACACATATATATCTGGGTGATAACTTATTCTATTTATCTCACTTTTGTCTGTGTTGACTTTATCAATATCACTATATACATATATACATTTATATGACTGTGGTAAAGTATTTATTTTTTATATCAAACATATATTTGACCCATATATCAATTATTGTACCGTATATGATTATTTATTTTCACGCCAGAATGTTTAAACCACTACATAATCTTGTTTACTTTGTCTTAATTATTTTAAATTATAATGCTTTTTTAAAAAAAATATCAACTAACTTGTCTAATGGTTAGTTGCAGAAACCGGAATCCCAAGGTTTAATCTCGGGCAGACATTTTTTTACTTCGGGAGTTAAGACAGTTCTAACCCTATTGAGCGTTAAAGCCTCCAAGCCGTAAGAGTACCTGACATTTGATGTCATCAGTGAAAGGGGTTGTTAAGTTGATATGATATTCGCGTCAACTAATGGTCAGGGCGACTCAATATCAACTTCACTTAACATTCCAACCAAAATAAAGTTAACTGAAAATTCGGTAGTTGAATAGTAAAAAAAAAAAAGCATGTGGTGTTGCTTCAATGGGGCGTGACAAATGGTTCTACATTAATTCACAGGCCTGTGTTGGGTCCATGGTGCATTCTTTATAATTGTATTTAAATTTCTTGTACATAAAGCCTGCTTATACACTTATAGCTTTAATTTAAGAAACAAAAAACAAGGAAGGGGGGGGGGGGGTCTCGTCTGCGAAGAAATCAGCTGAAGCAATAGTAGTTTCAAACTTACTGACTTGTATAGTCCCCCGCCGTTCGGCATTGGGCGTCAAGCTGTCTCCGTGGAGATCTGTCTGTTTGTATCAAACAGTTAAACGAAAGAAAAAATGTTTCACACATGTAGGAAATAAATTTAAATAAAATATAAATAAATCGATATCCAAACATCAAGATAATTTGGATAATGCATTGAATAAGACGTGAATTTCAAAAAGTAATTAATAAAATTACAATTATTCTCAGAGTTTGTTTCGTGGCAACACTTTGTTGATCTAAAATGCTTCCATATTTTTTAACCACTTGATATTGTTCGCAGTCATTTCGCAAGTGTAGAAATGTGTCAATCACTTGACCACTTTGTGTGTGTGTGTGTGTGGGGGTGTGTTAGGGTGTGTGTGTGTTAGGGTGTGTGTAAAAGAGGGATACAGAAATATGCGCTAGAAAAAAATGTGTATGTAAGACAGAAAGACAGAGACACCAACTGGATCAATGTTTGTGTCTTGTACCTTAAGACACGATGTAGATCTGTATTTGTTGTGTATGCCAATATTTATAAGGAGATATTGTTGCCAGTAAATGACTTCCTCGTGAAAACCGAAGTGTACCAAATATTCAAATCAAAACTTACGTATAGTGTAGAAATTTGCATAATTTATACATCGTTATATTTGTAATGTCTTGTTTTTGTTCCGTCGCATTTGATCCAAAATTTCAAATGTGCATCTGTTCAAATATTAACTTGCACGAGAAAGTACTCTTTAGTGGTGTCTTATCTTATACAAAACAGACGTTACTTTAAAAAAAAAAAAAGAGCATTACGTCCTAGGCGTCATGCATGTAGTCATGCATATTAACCAATGACTTAAATTCTGCCAAGTCACTGGTTTTCCTGGCTAACTCAGACAACCCATTCCATGCTCTAATAGCTCTAGGGAAGAAGGAGTATTTGTACAAATTTGTTCTAGCATATAAGACGAGGAATGTGCCTTTATCCTTGTGTCCAGTGGTTATCCCCGGAGTCCATGATTCACACTGTTTTGGGCATATAAGTGAATGGATAGAGGGCCTTGTGATCTGGGTCTAGATCTGTCATTATATAATGGACCTCATTCACCAATCGTAAACAACATTTAGCCACGTGATTCTCGTTCTCTTCTATACAAATTACGTAATACACACAGGCTGTCACGTGATACGTTTTTTTTCGTTGTTTTATCAATATTATCACGCGGCTAAATGGTCCATTAAATATTTATGATGTTCTGGATTTAAACAAAATAATGACAGTCGCTTTTGTATCAAGACCGAAAAGGAAGGGGGGGGGATGCCAAGCTAAGCATTCTTGTGATTTTGTTGTGTTTCGATGTCTTGTGGAAATTGTTTTCCTTAAATAACATTCACTATGTGACATGTATTTCAAACCACTTGACCACTTCAGACTTTAAAGTAATACACATTGCTTACTGTGTGGCCTAGCGTTGCACCTAGCTGCACTAAAACACGACCGCCAGCCGATGTTCATTACACCATCTTGACACAATCGAATGATTCGACTTGAAGAAGTATAAAAATACAGACAGGAGGATCGGTGGTTGAGTGGTAAGTCGAGTGGCTTACGAACGGGGGTAGGGGGAATTCACCAGTTCGAATCCTGATGAAGACTGGGATTTTTAATTTCCGAATCTTTAGGACATCTCAGAGTCCACCCACCTCTAAAGGGTATCAGACATTAGTTGTGGAAAATTTAAGGCAGCTGGTCATCAATACCCCGAATGTGCGAAATGTTCCGTTAACGAACAAGTTTGGGAATCACTGTATTAATATATGATCATGTCTTTTAGGAGATGTTTCATCTAGGTTTTAAACAACTGTTTCACCACACCAGTAAAAACATAGCATTTACTTTGACAGTTCGTTTTAAAATGTGTTTTAGTATTTTTCTAGACACTTTTTGTTCAGCTTTATATCATATGGTATTACGTATAGATCTTTTTTACATTTCCTTTTACCATTTACAACAAAAAAAAATAATCTGTAGCGTGCATTTCAAATTGTTACTTAACCCTTAAAGTGCTGAGCTGTTTTACAATGAGTGTATACCAAATGGAATTACAATTATGATGTTTAGAAGCTAAACTACTCACGCAGTTTATGGGTTACTAAACTTGTATTACTTTTGTTGTCCTAAAACTATTTTTACATTTTGATTTGAATCTTGCATTGGACCAAAATTTCGTATCGATCCAGTTCAACCAATTACCTATAATCAGTTGAATTGTAATGTGTTTTGTTTAGCGCTAACTGAAATGTATTGTTATAGAATTGAGATGTATTGTTATAGAATTGAAATGTATTGTTATAGAAATGAGATGTATTGTTATAGCTATGAAATACCTCACTGCATTAATGGGAATGTTGGATCGGGAACTGAAAGGAGTGACATTCACCAACTGCTGATGTGTTGTTAGTCTAATGACATGTGGTGTGTCTAGTGACATGTGGTGTTAGTCTAATGATATATGTTGTTAGTCTATTGACATGTGGTTTGTCTAGTGGCATGTGTTGTTAGTCTAATGACATGTGGTGTATCTAATGACATGTGTTGTTAGTCTAATAACATGTGGTGTGTCTAGTGACATGTGGTGTGTCTAGCGACATGTGTTGTTAGTCTAGTGATATGTGTTGTTAGTCTAATGACATGTGGTGTGTCTAGTGGCGTGTGGTGTTAGTCTAGTGGCATGTGGTGTGTCTACTGACATGTGTTGTTAGTCTAGTGACATCTGGTGTGTCTAGCGACATGTGGTGTGTCTTGCGACATGTGTTGTTAGTCTAGTGACATGTGGTGTGTCTAGTGACATGTGGTGTGTCATATGTCGTTATAACCCTTTTTTAATCATGCATGGAGTTATACATATATATTGTATTATTTTTTTAAATATTCTGTTTGGGAGAATGTTCAATGTTTTCCACAAACATATTAAATTCTCACAACTCTGTTGAAAGTAGTTAGTAGTCTAGATAAAACTGTGAACTGGTGTGATTGAAACTAGTTCTGACTAAACAAACTATCTGTTGTCCACATTCAGGCTAAAATAAAAGTCCCACACTATCTCTACCAAAGCTGTACACGAGCTCATGATTATTCATAATTCATGATTATTCTATATTATTGGCTAGCATTATAAGTATTTAAAAAATTATTTGTCTGGCTAATAAACCATCAAACAATACAGTAAACCAATCTTAGATCATGGACTGCGCTTATAAGATCTCACTAACTGTTTGAAATACAGATTCGAAAGATACACAATAGCTAAAGTATTTCTAATGATCAAAGCTATTTACTGGAAAGAATGCACCGTTGTGTATACTTCTCATAATCCATAGTTAGACTGATATAAAGTCGATATAGTGTTAGAAAATTGGTGATGACATAAATGAATAAATTGTAAAGGTTGCCGGGATACGTTCTCAATGTATAACTCTGTTCTATCATACTTTTATTTTGTATTTGCTTAAATGAACTACGCATAAATGTAGTCAACCAGGTAGCGACCTTCCTGCTGACCTACATTTGTGTTTAGTAGACGTCTCTGTTTACAGAAGTATTTACCTGCATTCAATAAATCTAAATATTTCAAGAGTACTTTGTTAAATTTTGAAGCATTTTCAGAATGTTTGGAATTTGTTTTTCATTAATATATCAACACACGAGGCTCGTGTGAGATTTAATTATAAAACTCATTTGATACAATACGACCAGAGAATGTTGATTTAAAAATATTACTTCCCCCCCCCCCCCCCAGACTGTACTAATATGTTGATAGTGCGTCATTGTCAATTGTGAAGGTTTTGTGAGAAAGTACTTATCATGAGTATACTATTTATTTATCTGTGACAACAGATCACAGACAATACAAACTGAATACAATTTATTAGGTTTGTAAGCAACCCTATTCCTTGTTTTATTTTGTAGTATTCCATTAAAAAAGAAAGTCTTTTTCTTTCTCCAGAAAAAAAAATAATAACTTCTCTCGAACGTAGAAAACTAGAATCATTAAAAAAAAAAAAAAAGACCTTTTTATTTTTATTCCACTGAAGTCTGTTTTGTAGTCCGCAAGCCCTAGTCTCTTGTTATTTTATTGTTTCCTCTTTGAGTGTGCACAATTTTAGAGTTAGTTTTCATTGTTAGCCTCCTTTCTGTTAGAAACTCTTCAAGTCTCTGCATCTGATAATGACGAATTAAAAGTCAGTGACCAGAGGCTTCCCGGGGCGAGTGTGATAGGCGGGGCCCCGGGCGAATTTCATACACAGGTCCGTCAACAAAAAGCGTAGACTACATCTTCTGTACCACAACAAGCTAATGGGCTCGTCCTCTTCTAATGATATAGACCTTATTATGTAAAAAAAAAAAAAAGCTACTTATGTAAGTACTTTAGTTTCGTTCTGTATTGTAATTCTGTAGGTAAGATTTTGTTCCCGGATCCCTAATACTGATTTAGCTCCCTTTAATCAACGTAAGCTAATGATTCAGAAACATTGTGCAGGAAAAATCAACAAACTAGATACAAATAATTTCGTCAATCGCGGGGGCCTATGGCGGTTGCCCTACTCGGCACCCCCTGAGGCCGCCTCTGTCAGTGACTATTATCAGAAAGAATTAGTGCGCATTTAATTATAGAGATGAATCAATAACGATTGGAGTCCATATAGTGAATATGGCAGTATGTTCACTATCCATATTATAACGAATTGTAGTGATGTTTGGTTAGTATGAATGTTGTTGAATATCTTAGAACCAAATTTTGTCTCAAGATGATCACGTTTTCAATGCACCTTGTACATTATGGTCAGTCTCATATTATGACAATAAAACTTTTATGGCAACTCTTATCCACCTGAAACGTGTTTTGTTTATTATGTGTATGAAGCTTTGTTTTAACCTCCTTTTTAACCCCACAAAATACATATTTTTAAACATATGTCTTCTGATATGAGATACATATTCTTCTTCTTCTTGAAACTGTCAGGTAGAGTTGAGCCTTCGACTCTTGGAACTCTAGGCCATCAAAAGTGAACAAGAGCTCCCTCTCACCGGCCTGAATAAGAACAGTGTGCACTGTTCTGTCTGACGGGTGGGTCAGACTCGCGGCAAGAAACCGCGTACACTAAGACCCCCGCCATTTTCCTTTTCTATACCAGGCTAACTGTGCGGGACACGCCATTTATGTCACGGCCCCTTGAGGAACAGCGCCTGGATTGTGACAAGGTTGTGGGAGCTTTTTTACAACTCCGCACAATGCAATGAGGATGCTCTCGCACCCCCTTAGGCACCCCCACAGGAGTCTTGTTTTGCTACCCTTTAGCCTAATCGTTTCCACCTACGATCGTTTCCACCCGGGCGCCACTATGAGGCAGGTTAGCATGCCCGGGATACATATTATACAGAAGTGGCGCGGGAGGATGTAGCCTAAGTCTTGAGTTATTTGACTTGCATTCATTTATTAAAACATCAATTAAGATAAGTTTTATTGATCCAATCAAATGGAAATTCGGTTTGACTACAATTAACAACCTCAGCATAACTACTGTACAATAACAATATAGATGCACTTACGAACGACATTCACACACGAAAAACACATACACATAACCAGCGCTTTATAAATAGACTTCTATGTACTTCTCGATGACGACAGAATGTTAATTTTTAATGTTGATCATCCAGGGTCTATTATTACTGAATGTTTTAATTTTCTTCTTTGGTACAATCATGTTTTCACAGAACTGGATGTAAGAATTAACAATTATGGTAAGTTCATCTGATTGGGCAGTTGTTTACAAACATGTCCCAATCTGTTTGCTCCAGACAACTTTGTGGCTGTAAAACAGCGTCGTCAGACCATGACTGGATGGACTGTACTTCGGGTTTTGTTGTTTTTAAAACCGGTTTGTACGTGGGTGTAAGATGGATCATTGTGTTCTCCGAATCTCCGAGGTAGCATAGCCTGAGATTGTTACATAGTAGTTCAATATCGGTCGTACACACTTTAGTTTTGATTGAAATATTGCTGACACAACAGTACTGTTTATTGACATATATGGCCAGTCCTCCTCCTCTTGTTTTGCCACTATCTGTTGTTCTGTCTGATCTGTACAAAAGAAACGCATCCAAGTCTACTGATGCGTCGGGAATAATATCATTTAGCCATGTTTCAGTGAGACAGATTGGCGAGTTTTCACTGTAGAAATGTCTGCAGCAAAAATTAAGTTCGTCCATTTTGTTAGTGGTCTAACATTGCCCAAGACAATAGGAGGCATATAGACCCTTTGTCCTCTTTTTCTGCTTTTGACTCAACCTCCTCCTCTACGGCCTCGTTTGTTTCGCTTTGACTGTGTGTTGATTGGCTCATGGCGGTTTGTTATGTATCGACCATTTGTTTCCAAGATGGCTAGTGTGTACATAGATTCATTGATGATTATATTATTTATGCTATCCACTGAAACACTGGTTTTTAACATGCACACAAGTAAAATAGTCCATAAAACTAGAAACACTTTTATTCTCTGAAACAAAATACACAATATGAAAGGAATAATAGAAAACAAATGCTGATTATGGCGCCCCGGATGTATAATTAATAGCCTATTTATAAATAGATCCAAATGCTTTGAATTTCCCATGCACCAAAAATGATTCCTTGTGAACGAAATGTTCCAACAAAAACAAATAGAAATAAAAGAAATCTAATGTCACCAACTTAAACTGAAACATTCATTGGCTTTGATTTGCTTCATCAACTAACACACAATGGACAGACAATGGATTTGAAGACAGAAATTGTATATCCGCCATCCTGGTGGTGGTTCCCAGACCACAATATCTACACCACATTTCTGGTCTGCCTGTTTTGGATTCTCCTGTTCACCTACTTCTTAATGTTTCGAGATACGTCACCAACACCCACGCGACAGAGCAGCACCGTGCCGCTCATCCACGCGCAGAGTTCCTTGATCTGTGAGTCCGTGGAATGGTTCAACTATCTGGTTAAAAAGTGGTAAATATTTGGACTAATAGGAATAACACCTACGTGTGGCTGTGTGTGTCACTTTTAAGTGTCACGTTTCTATTTCTTACCTATGATTGTGGCGTACATGTGTATCTCCTGTGTATGATTGTGGCTACACGTGTATCTCCTGTGTATGATTGTGCAGTACATGTGTATCTCCTGTGTATGATTGTGGCTACACGTGTATCTCCTGTGTGTGATTGTGCAGTACATGTGTATCTCCTGTGTATGATTGTGCATTTGATGTGTATGATTGTGGCTACACGTGTATCTCTTGTGTATGATTGTGCGTTACAGGTGTATCTCCTGCGTATGATTGTGACTACACGTATATCTCCTATGTATGATTGTGCAGTACATGTGTATCTCCTGTGTATGATTGTGCATTTGATGTGTATGATTGTGTATTACATGCGTATCTCCTGTGTATGATTGTGTATTACAGGTATATCTCCTGCGTATGATTGTGGCGTACATGTGTATCTCCTGTGTATTACATGTGTATCTCTTGTGTATGATTGCGGCGTACATGTGTATCTCCTGCGTATGATTGTGGCTACACGTGTATCTCCTGTGTATGATTGTGAATTACATGACTATCTCCTGTGTATGATTGTGTCGTACATGTGTATCTCCTGTGTATGATTGTGCATTTGATGTGTATGATTGCGCATTTGATGTGTATGACTGTGTATTACATGTGTATCTCCTGTGTATGATTGTGCATTACATGTGTGTTTCCTGTGTGTGATTGTGTATTACATGTGTATGACTGTGTATTACATGTGCATGATTGTGTATTACATGTGTATTTACTGTGTATGATTGTGTATTACATGTGTATTTCCTGTGTATTACATGTGTATTTCCTGTGTATGATTGTGTATTACATGTGTATCTCCTGTGTATGATTGTGCATTACATGTGTGTCTCCTGTGTGTGATTGTGTATTACATGTGTATGACTGTGTATTACATGTGCTTCATTGTGTATTACATGTGTATGATTGTGTATGACTGTGTATTACATGTGCATCATTGTGTATTACATGTGTATGATTGTGTATTACATGTGTATTTCCTGTGTATGATTGAGTATTACATGTGTATCTCCTGTGTATGATTGTGCATTACATGTGTGTTTCCTGTGTGTGATTGTGTATTACATGTGTATGACTGTGTATTACATGTGCATGATTGTGTATTACATGTGTATTTCCTGTGTATTACATGTGTATTACATGTGTATTTCCTGTGTATGATTGTGTATTACATGTGTGTGATTGTGTATTACATGTGTATTACATGTGTATCTCCTGTGTATGATTGTGCATTACATGTGTGTCTCCTGTGTGTGATTGTGAATTACATGTGTATGACTGTGTATTACATGTGCATGATTGTGTATTACATGTGTATTTCCTGTGTATGATTGTGTATAACATGTGTATTTCCTGTGTATTACAAGTGTATCTCCTGTATATGATTGTGCATTACATGTGTGTCTCTTGTGTGTGATTGTGTATTACATGTGTATGATTGTGTATTACATGTGTATTTCCTGTGTATGATTGTGTATTACATGTGTATCTCCTGTGTATGATTGTGCATTACATGTGTGTCTCCTGTGTGTGATTGTGTATTACATGTGTATCATTTTGTATTACATGTGTATTTCCTACGTGTTACCGAGAATGATGAGGAGGGGAGGTGTTAGATGCAACTACTCAGAAGTCAAAATACAACATAATACTAGTCACAGTCCACCGCCACCGACTTTTCTTGCTACTAAAAGGCCCGTAGGCTACATCCGGCCCGGTACTTTCCGTTCCTTCCCAATTTGTGACATCGGTGCATGATGGAACCACGTGACTAAAATGCTGATACTGGTTTCAGCGATATCCTTCTGACTAGCAAGGGTTGCAAGAGAGCTTCCAAGTCCCTGTCAACAGTTCGTGCGCCGTTCCTCTACGGACCGTTTCAATAATGCCGAGTCCTGCAAGGTTAGCCTGGTGAAGCATAGTTCGCCGGTGTGCTTGGCCTTCGGCCACGTTCTAGCCTGGGAGTCAGGAGTGCCATCGTAGGATTAATTACAAACATCATTGTATGATTGATTACAAACATCATTGTACGATTGATTACAAACTTCATTGTAGCATTGATTTCAAACATCATTGTATGATTGATTACAAACTTCATTGTAGGATTGATTACAAACATCATTGTATGATTGATTGATTACAAACTTCATTGTAGGATTGATTACAAACATCATTGTATGATTGATTACAAACTTCATTGTAGGATTGATTACAAACATCATAGTATGATTGGTTACAAACTTCATTGTAGGATTGATTACAAACTTCATTGTAGGATTGATTACAAACATCATAGTATGATTGATTACAAACATCATTGTATGAATGATTACAAACATCAGCGAAGGATTGATTACAATCAATGTCACCTTTCTTTAGGTGGAAATTTTCCAAACAGAGTACAGAGAATTTAATCTGTGAAACCATGAACAAAATTATGTCTTCCAGCTTGCCTCCCTTCATTGGTAAGCTCTTTGGTTTTTAACAGTGTGCTGGAAATTTCAAATTGTAGATACATGTCGTAAAATATTTGGACCGGCGTTTATCTAAAGCAGCATTTAAAAATTCTTTAAAAAAAAACGAAAAAAAAAACAGCTACGTCTTACAATAATGTAGACAGTTTTCCCTTATTCCATATCAAAGAAAGTTCATTATTGCCAATAATTAATTGACTAATTGGTTAAATTGTTGTTGTTTTTTTTGCTTGATTCATGTTTGGTTTTGTGTAGACTCA